GTGGGCGATGTGTGTGGGGGGAGTTGGGGTGCATAGAGTCCGTCGTGGGGTGGAGGTGGGGATGGGGGTGGGGTAGGGGTGGGGTAGGGGTGGGGATGACCTTACCTTTGACTTGATAACTCGACTGGAGCGGTGGCTTTGGTTCAGCGACCTGCAGTGCGGCGGAACTTCCCCCAGCGGCAGGCCCCGCACGCGTGTCAGATCATAAAAACACACCCACCTCCCCCCCCCCCGCCCCCGCCTTTCTCCTTCTCATCCCCCAGCTCCCCGGTCTTCTCCTGGACTATCCGTGTATCTCACTGGTATTCGCTCCGTTCGTAAGTGGTTCGTCTTATCTCCCTCTCCCACCCCCCGCAACCCCCCAACCCCCCGCGGGCAGGTAAGATGATCAAGCGGGAGGAGGCCACTCTTCTGGCGGAGCTGCCCTTCAAGCTGCGAGCCCGCCTGCTCACCGCCTTCCACACCGACACGCTGTCCCGCATACCCGGCATAGCCCGCCTGCCTCCGCATGTGATGATCGAGCTGGTGACGCAGCTGAAGCCGCATTACTTCGTCGAGGGTGAGGTACCAGAAAGACGGTGTGTGTGTGTATGTGTGTGTCGGGTGGGTGAGAGGCGCGTTGAGGGAAAAGGGGGGTAAGGGGGGGGGAGGGAAAGGGAAAGGGGGATTAAAGTGTGAGGGGGGGAGTGATGAGAGGCTTTTCGAGTGAACCCCGTGTGTATGTGTGTGTATCTGTGTGTGTCTGTGTCGTTGTGTGCGCCCTTCGGGTGCCCTACCTACCTTTATGAGGACCTCCCCCCTGAGGAGGACCAATCACTCGAACCGGTTAACAAAAGCGTGACAACGGCTTGTTGACCTTCCTCTCCACCCAACCACCAACTACCAACCACCAACTACCAACTACCCCCATCCTGACCGGGCCTGTTTACATCAAATGCAGGTGATATCGTGGCTATGCAGGGGGATTACGTGGACGGGTTATACATCGTGTCGGAGGGCCTCCTGGAGGTGTGTATGTGTGTATGTATGTATGTGGGGGGGAAAGGGAGGGGGAAAAGGGGAGGGGGGAGGTAGGAAATATTTTCAAGGGACATACGCAGGGCGACATACTTACAAACACTAACACGTAGGGGGAACGAAAAGGGTCGTTCCCTTTCGTGAGGTGGCACTTGTACCTCCTCAGCTCATGAGCTGGCTGGGTGATCTTACTTCATTCCGCGTCATCTGATTGGCCATACACACATACATACACACATACATACATACATACATACATACATACATACATACATACATACATACATACATACATACATACATACATACATACATACATACATACATGCATACATACGTACATACATACATACTGGCTTACTTAGGGTTTGGCAACGATGTACGGCAGCTTATTCCTGTCCTCTCATACCGTGTATCCCCCCATTCCCCCCTTCTTAAGGTCCGCACGTACATGTTTCCCGCTGACGTGGAGCCCTGGCGTATCTTTGAGGCCGTACACAAGGACGAGCTGCGGTACATGCCGTACTCTGCCGAGGTGCGCGCGTTTGCATTGGTAAATCTACATATGTTTTTTTTGTGTGTGTGTGTCTCCCAGCTCGACCTGCTTCCTCCTGCCTTAGGCTTAAGTATGCAACGGTACAAATGACATATGCACATACATACATACGCACACACATACACACACGCACGCGTGTGGTCCTCTCTGCTTTTTGTCTCCCCCTATGCCCCTCTCTCCCCCCCCCAACCCCCCCTCAACCCCCTACACACGCCCCTTGTTAAGACCAGCAAAGCGCCAGAACCCCGTTGGGTCCCATTACTGCTGTTACCATCCACGGGCATATGAGTGTCGGTCATGTCCAACACCACTAAACCCCCCACACTCACTCACGCAGGGCCGTCTCAAGCCGCGCTACTTCTTCGGCCAGGCGGGTGTACGGCACGGCGGCGTGTGGCCGGCCACGGTCATCGCCCGGAATTGCTGCGAGCTCTACTCCCTGGATAAGGAGGGACTGGAACACATGATGGCCGTACAGCCGGAGCTACAGGACATGCTGGGAATACCCCGGGCGGCCGTACCGGGTACGGAGGATGTGCTGTTGCCGTGTGTACGGCGGAGGGGGGGAAGGAGTGGGGAGGGGGGCGGCCGGGGGGGGTTCGGTATATCGTGCAGGAGGGGGGTATTTTTGAAGGAGCTGTTGGTTTTGGGGTGGAGTGTTTGATCGATTGTGTTGCATTGGTTGTTGTTGTGGTGGTGAGGGGTGTGCGTGTGGCACCGCCTGAAGGCCTTATGGGAGAGTTCACACTATGGCCGAAACACACAGACACACATGTGGTAGTCCGTTTGCGCTCGTTATGTATGTATGTATGTATGTATGTCCTTGGGGGAATCCTTCCCTCCAACCATCTCCTGATCCACGAACC